TATCGAGATCTGTTTTGCCCCTCCATATTTTAGAATTTAAAAATGTCGTACCGCTAGAAGTTGCAGTGGGCGTTAAATATGCTGCTTCTGCAAAACTTGAGCGAGTTTGCTGTTCGGTAACTGTGATTTGCTCTCTGCAGCTGAAATTTCCTCAGATATTATAACTAATTGTTTTCATCATGAGTCTTTGAATCCGGTTAATACACGACGACACTACTAACGATGATGATAATAATGGTTAAGGTAACTGCTTGGTTATTTAAATGTCGGTAACGAATAATGAGTGAGCGAGTGAGTTTTTAGCATTATTCAAGAAATATCACACCGTGGACACCAGAAATGGGCTTCACACATTGTACCCATGTGGGGAATCGAACCCGGGTCTTCGACGTGACGCGCGAACGCTTTAACCACTAGGCTACCCTACCCCACTGCCCCATAACCTTTAAGTCATCAGGCTAAAATTACGGTTACTTCATGCATAGTCATAGCATGATGACAAAATGAGTATGTTAAAATAGGCATGACGTTAGATATCTCCGGGACGAATGAAGGTGAGAGGACCAGAATGCAAACATCCAATGAAGCGGAAACAATGTACAAAACAAACGCTTGTGACCCAAACATATTGAAAAGTAATGTGACAATATATGTTTCAAATGTACACCAGAATAACCTTTGCAACATCAATAGGCCATTTGAAAGGCCATTTTTCATGCTGGATAGCATGCTAAAAGCGCACAGAATTACGACTATGTTAAGAATTGTGTATTAAGAGGCGTCAATAACAATAAGGCATCTTATATAGCGATAAACTCAACTCACCATGGGCATTACAACGTAATGGACATTATTACCCCGGATAGCTCAAGCTGCCTGTTAGGCACAAGAAGGGTAATAGTCATATAACTTATCCCACCGGGTACCCATTTTCTGCTGGGTGAACAAATACAATTTTGAACAAACTGACTTGAAACCACATGTGCCGTTGTGGGGCAGGACAGAAGTCTCATGAGTAAAACACGTTCACCTATTCAAGGACTCTCCAAGACCAACCTTGCTTAACCTCAGATTCCACCTGGACTGAGGCACAAAGGCCACACACCACCACAATAGATATAACCTAACCTAAATGCAAGTAAAATATCTTAATTAATTAATTTGTAGGATCATTTCTGGTGTGAAAGCAGAATCATTGGTATTCTCAGTTGTGTAAGATGTCATTGATCAAAGAGACTAAAATGCTTTCAATGAGATTGCAATAGTGATTGCTTTAAGATAAGGGACTCAGGTAATAAGTGAGAGTGCTTGTATGTCATAAGTCTTTTAAGGGGTTTTAGCTTTACATAAGGCTTGTTTGAATCTGTTGTGACTCAATAGCAAGAAACTACTGAACATTTTACAGCGGACTCATATTCATTTAAATCAACTCGTCTGAAAGCTTTCCAACGCTGACTATGTAACAGGTTTGGATCCCACAGATGAAAATAATGCATACGCGACCTCAGTTTTACTGGTTCATGTTGACATCAGGATCGGAATTTGGCCATGCAGGGAGCAAGATATCTCATCCCAGCGAGACGAGTGAAGAGACGATGTACGCAGAACATACTTTCATTCCCATATTTGGTGTTACAATCATGCGCATCGTTTCTGAGATGTTGATATTTAGACCCCATAGTTAAATGTGTGGAATCATGCTGGCCATTTGTTTTCACTTGTATATTTGGCTTTTCTGTATTTTCACAATTGCGTAGAAGGTACTTATTATCTACTTAGATGTACGTATGGTCTAAATAGTTGATACTTGTCCTAGACAGCGGCACGAATGCGCTTCCACAGTGAACTCACTCCAATACCATAGAACTGTACAATACCATATCAGTGAGACAACTAGCCATCGTACTGAATACTATTTTTCTTCAGCAAATTGGTGTCACCTTCTTCAGATGTATCCGATGGCTTCTCTTTGTCAGTACAAACCTGCAACAACTGCATTCAACAGTATTGAACCAGAATGTGTTTTACCCATAATGGCATGTGTCTTCCCACCCCTCCTCTTCTTTGACATTAGTTCAACTTGTTACTGTAAATGCATTTGCGAATCTGAAGAAAACAACATTTGCAAAATAATATAAGTGCATCTCCTGATTAAAGTATTGATTAATCATCATTACATTCAGAACTTGTTGACTCTTCATGGATAAAAAAAGACTCTTAACTTGAAACAGCAGTGTGCATGGGAGATTGTATAATGCAGGTATATGAACTTATAATGAAACGTCAGTAGCTTTTCTGTTTGGTAGAAATTTCCAAATTGTTTCCATGGAAACAAAAGACATTAAAACTGTAAAGTGACAAAGACGGAAAGGTAATATTTTGAGATTATAGCACATGTATATTGTCATGTAAACATTAGTCATTTGTTTAAGAGTTATGGATCGGAAACGAAGCGAAAAGTTTATAAAAGTACGTGGAAGTGATTTCCATGGAAACATAGATAATAAGAAAACAGATAATTCAGAAAACTTAGCAAACTGTACCAGACAGGCTGATGAGCAAAAGGTTTGCTCGAATTTGTTGAATAATGTTAAAATTATGGTCCGGAAATGACAGTATGTGCCAGTGTAATGTCGATGTTGAACAGTTACATCCGAATACTGCATTTCAAAATTGACAACATATTTGCGATTACAATTGGCAGGTGGGAGCTCACGATAAAGTGATTTGACTTATAACTGCAGTTCAATTGCTGTTTATTTGATCATTGTCACTACCTCACTATATTATTGTGTATAACGTTTGATTTAATTCAACATTTGACTTGCATGTGTTTGTGATAGATCCACCGACGGGGCAGAATACGCTCACTTTCGTGTTCTATGTTCTTGATACCATTCTGTTTCATAAAAATGAAACACCAAAGTGTCATAGGAATCATACGCACTAAAGGCGCTGCATGGAAAGACATGACAAAGTTCGCTGTTACCATCCTCTGAGAGTTTCGGATGGAAAAGTCAATCCTTGAAGAGAAAATACAAGACGACTTGTCGCTATTTATGAAAGCATTTGAGAAGGAGGAGGCAAATGATTTTGATTGTAAACGACTAGTCCACAATCCCACGTCCAACATTATTTCCGGAATTTGCTTCGGAAAGCATTATGAATACAATGATCCACAATTCACCAAGCTGTTAAAGGCAACAGAAGGGATTGTCGCTGACATAGGAACTGCTAACGCTCTGGGTGTGTTTCCAGCCGGGAGATTTCTTTACCTATAAACGCCTCATGAGAAACCTTCACATTCTGGAGAAAGAGGTAGCACTTAGCTCAACACATTGCGGAACACGTCAACGGATACGGCGAAGATGACGTTGAAGATTCCATCACAGCTGTTACAAAAGAGATGCGACACGGCAAGCAAGGCCAAACATTACGTGTTGGTGTTATGTATATTTTATCAATAAGAATGGAATAAATTGAGTAGAACATGAGGTAGATGTTCCCCTCAATATGAAAATGTGTCATAGGTAGTACATACCTTATTTGTCTGACATTGCCATCACTGTCTTTCAGTGAGTAATTTTCACCGACGTTTTGCCATCAAGAGGTGCCTCCGTTTTGCTTCCCTGGAAGTTTTTCTTGCAAGATGTAAAATCAGCTCGTATTGATACGGTCTAACATCCATGTCCAATATAACATCGGGAACATCTTTTACTGCTTCAGAATCCATGGTCACTGTAAAGTTGTCAGGTAAAGTCGAAGAGGAAGCCATCGACATTAGGCACATATGACGTCATGTCACGTGATACCCGCTACCAGGGAGACTATCCCTACCGCTACTGATCATTAACTGTTGAGTGTTTCCTTAATAGGCGAAAGTACGAGTGCTTTTTTACGCGTTTATTGCGATTTTACACATTTTGAGTTCAATTTTAATCATGGAAGGTAAATGCCTTTAGCAAACATTTTTATGGATGTGGAAAGGGTTTTGTCGCTTCTATTAGCCCTATGAAAGAAACATCTCCTTTAAATGTCTAACAAACGAAGGTCAGAATTTATACTGTTGGATGTATTGCAGCATAATACATTAATCGGACATATGTTGTGATGAAATAAGTTTTAATTCAATCACGAATGACTCTATATATTCGTTGTGTACATAAACATGGTTTTGCTTAGACCCATGCGAATCCATTAAGATAACATTACAGCACATGTGTCATATATATGGTAAGCGTAAACACCACTATGCGTAAGGATATCTGGGATTTTGTTAGGAGATTTGTGCACAGGAAGTTGGATCACAGGTCGAAACACATCATGATAAAACAAACAAATTTAACAAATATAGCGAACGAATATGCTATATTCCTCGTTAGGATGAGAAAGCCACAATAACTCGGTGCGCCTAGTGGCTGCAAGAGTTGTATACTCCCCAGGGAGTTGAGATTGATAATGCGATATGCCATTGAGATTGACATCCAATGATCGAGGGAAAAAACCCCAGCGCCTTGAGCATGCACTAGTGCGTGGATATGGGCGCTATATAAATACCCTATAATAAAATAATAAAATAATAATATGCAGTTCCAAATCTGCTGCCCAACTTTGACTCGTTGTGGCCAGATGTTGTTTCTGTATTCATAAATGGTTAAAATTTAACTAAAGTCTGAGGATCCTTACATGAGTTTGATATTATACATACTCCTGTGTCGTTGTGACCTTAGGTTGATCAAACCGTCCCGTGTGGGCGTCATGTGTTGCCGTGAGCCCACAGCTGCGCATTTAGACTAACGTTTAGTCCCTGAATACATATAATTGTGACAGTAGCAAATAAACCCATTTAAATTGAAAAGGAGCCCAAGTGAGACCAGTGAACCTGAGGAAATCTAGACTTGTTTCATTTAGGGCTTTAGCATTGCAGGGAGGGCTAAGCATTGGGGAAATAATATGGTTCAGGGACTGTGAGACAGACTACTGCGCATTGTGCTGAGTCAGGTACAAGCGATATAACCAGTCCTGTATTTGGCGAGAAGACATCGACATGGCAGGCTTCTTAAATTCAAGCACTGCTGCCGTTATGGCTTCTATCGCACTGCTGGTGGGGATGTTGATGTTTAATACATCTCTGATACTGGTGTTTGTTACTGTATTACTAATACTATGGCTGTCAACACGGCGTCCTGCTGGATTACCACCCGGACCCCAACTTCTACCACTGGTGGGCAACATTTTTTCAAATGGGCGACGATCCCCGAGTTACTTTTAGCAATCTGCGACGACAGTACGGCGACATCTTCAGCGTGTACATCTTCCACAAGCCGGTCATCGTCCTCAACGGCTACGATGTTATCAAGGAGGCCCTGGTCAAGAACGCCGACGTTTTTTTCAGACAGGGCTCATTCCTTTCTCACGGATGTTTTCAGTGGGGGCAAAGGTAGGTAACTGTTTATTTTGCATTAAGGAGTAGTTAATGTGTGTAGTTTTACGCTACCTTTGGCACAACTTTAGAAATGCCACGTCGGGAATAACTAGGATAATATTGTAGTTCTCACTGGCACTCTACTGATCCCGGTAAGGTCTGCACAATGGCGGCCTTCACTACTGGGCGATGCGCAATATGTTTACTACAGAAAAACCCGAGAACGGGTGCTTAGAATTATATCATTTTCATCTAAACTATAGCAAAGCATACGTCACTAGAATAACGCGAATCGTTACTTTTAGAGAATGAAAACTATTCTTAAGCAGTTTTGAGACACTCTCTGGTTAGAAAGGCGAAATGTAAACAATGACACACACACACACTTTTCAATACCGACATGTGCGTCGATAATTCGTGTCAGCTCGCCAGAAAGACCGCCCTCGTGCAGTCCTAACCAGGGCCACAGCATACCCCGGGAACAAGGCTTCAAATGACTGACTGACTGAGTTTGGTTTTACGCCGCTTTCAGCAATATTCCAACAACATCACGGCGGGGGACACCAGAAATGGGTTTCACACATTGTACCCATGTGGGATTCGAACCCGGGTCTATGGCGTGACGAGCCAACGCTTTAACCACTAGGCTACCCCACCGCCCCGGCTTCAAATGAAAGGTCAATGGAGGAAATGAGGTTAAAATGTTCGATAAACACAGTGGACATTTAAACATCTGCCAATGTTTGGAAAGGCCAAGTGACACTCATTGTATATTTCCATTATTGGCCAGAATAGCGTATGTGTCGTGACAACTTAGTAAGAACAGTGATTCATGAGAGCTTATAGACATATTTAATACGAGTATAATATATCGTTAACGTTGCAGTTTAATTTAACAGACCAGATTTGATATGCGAGCAAGCGAAATCGGATAAAGTATGTATGACGTCAAGGGTGAAAAAACAACGTTAATCTCTAAATGATAAGTGAACAAGTAGGTGTGGCGATACTCTGGGAATGTTGGTTTCATAAACAAGTTAGTTCACTGCTCGGAAAGTCGCCCGTATTCTATCTCTATGTGTGTGTGCGTGTGCGCGTGCGTGCGTGCATGCATGTATGAATGATGTACAAATAGGGGGGGTTATGTAGCACAGTGTAATTCTTGTTAAGAACTTAATCACTACCCAACCGCATTGAGATTTTTCAATGCAGTAAGAACGATATAGGCGAGTGTAGTGTGAACAAAGCCGTCCTCTATCATTTGATAAATGTGTCTTGAATAAATATCGCATTGGAGATGTCATTTAGCCTGTCTGGATTTAAGTCTGACATATTTAACTCGTAAATGCAGAAACATTATCGCCTTCTTCTGTTTCGTTTTCCAATGTTATATTCGCTCGTCAGTACTTCAAGCCTATAAAATCGTACATTATGCATTTTCTCACATTACAGTCTCCGAACACTCCGCTTATGCATCACTCCACCTTACGTTGCAGGGAGACTCAATGTGGCAGATTCAACTTTGTATTGTATATAGTTGTACATATAATAAACATGTGAATCTTTTAATATGTGTGTCATATCATGATGAGATATACAATCTCATTAAATAACCCAAGTGTAATCATTTTATCAATAATTTTATATTCAACATTTTATATCACACCTTTAGCCCTTCTAAACATCAATCTAATCTTAAATGTAATCTATTTCAACAATACTCATTTGCACTGCATGCTTTTCTCCCTGCAATCCCTTCTAAAGCTTGTCCCTTGCTCAGGCTAGTGTTTAATTTCTATTGTTCTCTGTTCAGCCAAGCGTATAAGGTATTAGGTATTTAAAGGTTAATTTCATCTAGTCTCTTGGTCAGTATCTTATGTGGTTGTCATCGCGCATGTTGCGGTTTAGTCTTTAGGATCAAGATCATGGTGATCTGGACTGTGTTTTTCCATGTATATAAGATGACGTAAACACCAGCAGTATCAGCTATGCATTGAATGCAGGAGCTCAGGTCATACCAACCTGGCTAAAGCTTTTGTTTATTACATTCTTGTAATAAAAGTCCATCCGCCTCACACCCCAGTGGCTTTGTGGTTCTTGTCACTACAATAACTACATCCTGACGCTGCTACATTTTGGAGCCCCCAGTGAGGATACATGGACAGGACACCGCCATAGAAGATCGGCCTACGTCAGCCACAGCAGATACAGCTACGACTACGATAGCCATAGACAAAGACGACAACGCCCATAACGTATTATCATCGTTCGGTGAATAGACTCTGAGATTGTTTTCATGTTGACGTGTGTGTATACGCATCATGGTGTGTGACCTCAACATATGGACACTTGTGTGACCTCAACATATGGACACTTGTGTGACCTCAACATATGGACACTTGTGTGACCTCAACATATGGACACTTGTGTGACCTTAACATATGGACACTTGTGTGACCTTGACCTCCTGTGAAGTTCGGCCAGCTGCAGTTAATGTGATTTCATGCTATCCATGTATTGAATATTATTTCTGCATTTGTATATGATGATGCCTTAATTTCATTAACTTGTGGGTACCCTTTAGTTTATTGCTCCGGAGCTAGTATATTATGTAATTTAAGTGTTTATATTCTACTGTGAATTTGTTTGTGTTGTCTTCAGTTAAGCATTAGTTAAGATTAGTTACTTTATTTAGTTGCATAAATTAATTATTAGTATCAGTTACACATCTGCTCTATACAACCAAGATGTGTTTGTGTGTGTGAGTGTGTATTAGTTAGTGTTAGGTAATTAGTAATACTTTAGTAATCGGTAATTAGTTTAGTTTAGTTTAGTTTAGTTTACTTTAAGTTCCATATCTTAATAAACCTGTAGGTTTAGTTTGTTTTAGTTGGTTGTGTTCATAGTTTAGTGTTTTAGTATGTAGGTTCTCTTTGTGGTTTAGTTGTAGGGTTTTCTTTGCGTTCATTTATCCCTTTGGTTATTTTGTTCAGGTAATTAAGGGTTGTATTTCATTGTTCGCTTCTCATATCTTCATTTCATATTGCTTGGTGCTATTCTCTCTTTATGTAGCGTATCATATTTATAAGCCCCTGCGCGCGTACACCTGCACTTTACTTACCTGCATTAGTTTATTATCTAAACACAAATTAAAGGTAACTCTAAACATGTAATTTATTTAAACTTATATTCGTTAAGGGTAAACTCCCATACCATTTACGTAAATCAATGTAAACATTCATTAAATCCTACATCTAACGTATTCTCGCGTGCTTCACTGTGTCCTTTGAAATCTGTTTTGTTACAAATTCTTCACGGATTTACAGTCACCAGTGTCGCGTGTTGTGTATTTCTCGCGGATTTCGTGTTTCATCTACTCATCAAGTTTTCTAGGTCGTGTATTACTCAGTTGTATATTCATATTTATTCTCCAACATGGCTGAAGCGGAAATGTCAGAAGAGGAGGTCAAACAACTTGTTTTGTCACTGAAGAAGTTGGATTTGAAACCCAAAGCTGATACACCTCAGGATCTCTTAGCGTGGATCTCATCAGTTAGCAAGTCGACTCAGGAACATAAACCCTCTATTCCACCCACAGTTACACTAGCTAAGACGCCACAGCTTCCATACTTCTCGGGAGACAGGAAAGGAGACGTCGACTTCGACCAGTGGAAACATGAATACACATGTCTCTGTACAAGATATTCGGAGCAAGATGTCATGGACGCCGTACACAAATCACTTCGTGGGAAGGCAGCAAGAGTCGCCATGCACATTGATAAGGATGCTCCATTGGACTCTCTCATCACCAAGCTGGACAGTGTCTTCGGGATGGTGCACACAGAACACAACATCATGGCCGAGTTCTATACTGCCAGGCAAGGAGAAGAGGAATCAGTTGCCGATTGGGAATGTAGACTTGAGGACGTCTTGGATCAAGCCATCATGTTAGGAAAGGTGAAGCCAGGAGAAAGGGATGTCTTACTTCGCGACACTTTGTGGACTGGGCTTCGCTTGGACCTGAAGGACATGTCAAGTCATAGATATGATCAGGGAGGATCACTGGAAGTTTTTCTCAAGTACCTACGACAACTAGAACAGGATCTGCTACAGAGGCAACCAACAGCCAGGAGGTCTGCGACTAGTAAGTCGTCTGTAACTAAGGAGCAGTCGGAACTACAAGAGATCAAGGGCATGCTCAAGTCAATGTCAACTGAGATTAACAAGCTCAAGGAACAAGTCAAACATGAGAGACCGCAAGTCACAGAACAAGGTCAATATAACCAATGGAGTCAAGGCCATAATCAAGGTCAAGGTCAGGAGTATGGTTACTTGCCACCCAGGAACTGGACACGCCCACCAAGGCCAAGAGGGAACAAGCCTTTCTGTCAAGGTCGAGGACGAGGCAACCCTACAGGTCGTGGAGATCCGGGATGGTTCCAAGGAGCTCAGGCCATGGATGACATTCCTAGATGTTTCCGATGTGGACAGCCAGGTCACATTCAGCGTGGATGTCGTGCACCACTTCCGGGCCAGGGAAACCTGCAGGGGCCTATGGGGAGGGGCGGACCATGGGCCTAGGATACAAGGTCAACACCCATCAACAGTTAGTGTCCGAGTTGGTAGGCGAACCAACTGAAACCAGCATTATTGTTAATGGAATCAAGACCAAGGCTTTGCTTGACACTGGAGCTACGATCTCATCTATAGCTGAGGCATATTATCGACAGAACTTTCCTGATGTTCACCTAGAACCACTGAAGCAGCTTCTTCATGTCGAGTGCGCGGATGGAGAACTTCTACATTACAGTGGCGTCATTGTTGTTGATATAGAGGGATCTGGGAGTGCATCTACCAAGGTACAGAGTATGCTACTTGTTGTGCCAGACAGCCAGTACAACAACACAGTACCTATCACACTTGGGACCAACATCTTATCCATATACCTTAACCAGTGTCAGGACAAATTTGGACCAAGGTTTCTCCAGCAAGCAAATCTCCATACACCGTGGTAT